AGTCCCTAAGTCTTTTCCCCAAAAAGCTTAAGCTTTTTGAAGGTTTCCCCCTGTCAACACAAACGGAAGGTATGCATATCTGAGGGCTTAGTATCAGTTAGTTTTGTGTGGGAGAGCCATGCTTCGGCACGAATGGGCCGGCTCGACCGGAGTGATACCACGGCCTCACTGAAAACCGACGTGAAACAACGCTTGCGTTGTGTTTCGTCGTGTGAGTGAGGTTACCGGAGGCCCAATTACCCTCCCCTTCCCTAATCTCCCCAATCCCTGAATTCCCAACGATCCTCAAACTCCTAATCCCCAAATAGCCGGTAACGCACTTGTAACGCCTCTGGTGTTCCAGGTGTCTTTGAGCGACGCCGATTGCTTTCCATCAGGCGATCCGTCTGCTCGATTACCGGCTTATGCCATAAAAAAAAAATAGTTTTATATTTAACGAGATCGAAACAAGATCGCGTTCGGAACCAACCATACGAAAGAAACGAATACGATGATTTAAAAACGGAATACATCAAATCGGTAGACTATTTGGAAGTTCGCCAAAATACTTGGCAGTAGCAGCAGGAGAATAACAAACACCTCTGAAACTTTCGAGGCTTTATATGCAGAACATAAATGTCACTTGCAATGTTAAAAAATCCAGTGTCAAAGTTAGCTTTGCCATAGGATTTTTTGATTTGATAAAGGAATATTGATTTCTAATCTACACTAAAAGTCTGTGATCACTTATAACGAGGGATCTTCGTTCAATACCAAAAATATGATGTCCAAGAAAATAATTTAATCAGATCAAAGCACTTAAAGACTCCTAAATAGACTCCTAAATAGCCAGAAATGTTGATAAAACAACTTTTATTTAGTATCTAGGTAAACCGGTTCATAGTATGTAAAACAGACGTAGGTATGTGGTTAGGTCATGGACGCTGCTATTTTTATTAGATACGATTTAATCATAGATTTGATTTAATCAATTACGTTGCATAATTTTTGTTTATTGGTATCAATTAGCCTAATCATGATTAGTTTGTAATCACCTCATCACCGATGCCGATAGTTTGAAATATTATTATTTACGTAAACTAAATGCTATCTACAAAATGTCTACCATTCTCTCTACCTAGTATTTTAAACAATAACTAACAATGCCCCATTTTGTTTATTACAATTGGTCAGATTCATCGTTAGATTGCAACAGAAATGACAGGGTATTAAAATTAAAAATCTAATTAGTCCGTCACTTAGGTAGTGAAAAAATATTAGACACGTATTTTTTTATTTTGTCGTATAAGAAAACAATACTTAGATAAAACGAATCAAAGTTTAGGAGTGGGAGGTAGGTACGTCATTTTAGAGTATAAATCGTACTCAAAAGTGACACCATGCGATATTTGAAATCACGTTTCTAATCAATATATCTTCGAAACTATTCGTTTCTGCAAGAAAATAAGAAATACGTGACTAATGTTTTTGAAATAATCTACCAGACGGACATTAAAATAAAAGTTAGTCATCTACGCTATTGTTAAAGGTTAAATTGCAATTACTGTTATTCAGGGAAAGTGTAAGTTTACAATCATTATCTACCCTTCCTCTATTACTTAGGTACTCCTATTACATCACAATTAGGGACTATGGGCCTAGTAAGTAGCAACCTATGTATGTGATAGTTAAGATTACGTTACACAAATATGTAGTTAGTTAACGACGACAAACTTCAATAAGACTAATTATAATTATCTATACAGATAAAAATTTGGTATAATCAATACATCAACAAGAGAATGAAATCAAATATAATTACTAATCACTTTTATCATATAGGTCAGGGTCATAGTGGTGAAACCTTTAAGACAACCATTAACACAGCCAACCATTAATACAGCTTTATCATAATTATAGATAGGGGTGAACGAACTTCCAACTACGAAATATTTTTACACATAATTGTCTACAATAATATTATAAACTAGCTGTTGCCCGTGACTTTGTCCGCGTAGAATAATGACTTCTAGTAAAATTTAGGCTTTTGAATTAGTCTTTATCTAGGGATATTCTACGGTAACGAATGTCGTCAGAATTGATTCAGTACCTAGTATAGGACTCCTCCCCTGTAGATGATAGCGTGATAATATGTAGCCTTTATGTTGACTTGACTTGTCAGTAATATTCATGCAAAATTTGAAGTAAATCCATGCAGTAATTTTTGAGATCATCCCGGACTATATACAGACAAACAGACAAAAATTCTAAAAACCATATTTTTGGCTTCAGTATCAATTGTGGATCACGCTACAAGTATTCTTTTAAAAAAAAATTCAGTGTACAGTTTTGACTTTTCTACGATTTTATTATATGTATAGATAGAAGATAGATAGCAGATAAATATTTTTCATTAATAAAATCACGATAAAAACGCACTTGAAGAGAAACTTAATCATTATCATTTTAATCCGAAGGCATTTTCCCCAGGACCTATTTTGTCCCTAATCAATGATAGGCACCTATCTATAACATTATATTTGGTAATAACTTTGATAAAACACTGATTGTGAATACATAAACACTATATGTTGCTTCATTTACCTATTTCTCTTGGTTTACGTAATATTATTTCGAAGTAATATGTAGCTAGGTATTAATACTTATTTATGTTATCAGTGATATGAATATCCTTTTCAGTTTTCACTCGGATTAGTAGCGATTCGATTGGTTAAGCACATTAAGGGCCGATTTCAATCAACAGACAGACAGTACTTGCCAACTAGTCAAGTTCAATACTTTTTTCGAACTGTCAAAAACGATAGTTTTCTATGAATTTTGTACGAGATTGTGTATTGTGACGTCACGTTTTTTTTTGCGTCAAACAGCATACTTATTTCTTAAAAATTTGCTTGATAAATACTAAAATTAAGTTGGTCATAAAATCAACTAATGAAAGTGTTTATTTTTTAAATAATATATTGTATTGTACAGTCGAAATAATTAATTTTTGATAAAGGAAATTACCTAATTCTACTATAATAAAAACTGTCAAATGTCAATTCTATTTTACAGTTAAGAATTGGGTAGGTACTTAAATTTATAGAAAACTGTCGTTTTTGACAGTTCGAAAAAAGTATTGAATTTGATTAGTTCGCAAGTACCTACCCAATTGAAATAAATGATTTTGACTTGGACCTTGACTTTGACTATTAATTAAATATTTAAAGAGAGTTTTTAAACTCTTTCTTCTGAAAGAGGATGATTTCATGTTCGTCAACAGAAATTGTCTGATAGCTGAATGACGAATCTTACTTGTAATAGAGGCAGAGAAGTAGTATCAGTAGTATATTTTATGAACAGTACATTCTTAATTCATATTTAAAATCAGCAAAAAAAAAACAAAATCAGCTGTCCAAATAAACATAAAATATACCGAATCAACTCACTCGACTCAATGAAAACACATGAATTGCCTGGTTTATTTTGTTTAACCTTCATAGCGACTGAAAATTGAGTGAAAATGTACGTAATAATATACGAGTTCGTTGACCCCGTGGGTAGATGAAATATTCAAAACTTTTTGTTAGACGTAGGTACAGACCTAAGCGTGTAAACAAAATGGATAGTGCGATATAAAAAGATTTATGACGCACATCGTATGATGTGTCTCGGGAAAAAATATCCACAATAACTCCCCACTTTCAGGTCTGAGAAAACATTGAGAAGTTTTTCAGGCACCGAGATACTACCTAGAATTTCGATATCAATTTTCTTGACTTGAAATGACTGACTGACTGACTGAGTGACTGACTGACTGATTGCAAACTAAGATCTAGTCGAAATTAGTGATTTGCAGTTTGATTGTGAGATAAGCTTTGAGAGAGATATCTGAGCGTTTCGAAGTTGCTGCCAAAACTGGTAATTGATTTTATGACCAAATTAATTTTAGTATTTTTCCAGCTAATTTTTAAGAAAGAAGTACGTTGTTTGACGCTAAAAAACGTGACGTCACAATTCACAATTTCGTACAAAATTCACAGAAAACTGTCGTTTTTGACAGTTCGAAAAAAGTATTGAACTTGACTAGTTGTCAAATATCGTGTTTGATAAATAATTAAAAAGTTCAAGCATGGGTCTTTTAGATACCTACAGTATGTTTTATATTAGGTACTGGACTGTTGGCTCGTAGCCCATTATCTATGTAACTGTTCCTCTGAACGTATGTATATATGTCAAAGTTTATTCATCGTAAACGATAAAAACATTCATTGTAGTTTCAGTTGTATCGGTCCAGATAACATTGAACTATGTAGCAGTAGGTATATGACGTACATATAAATACATATGTTAGATTGTATATAGAGCAGAATTATAAATAACTCTAAATTCTTATACATATGAGGAAGGAAAAATTAATGAAATACTCAATTATTGTTACGTAAGCTAAGTAAGTTGCCGTATGTTAGATATTCTTTTTTCTTTCCTTTTCATTGTCTGTGTTTTCTTATACATGTATAATATTATTTTTAAGTTGTAAATATTTCACCTCGTAGTTTTACATAGATATAAAAGTAAATTTTGATTAGACAACAAAAACATTGTTATTTGTACGTAAGGAATTGTTTCAGTAAAGAATAATAATAATTATTACTTCAATTAAGCCCCATGTCCTTGGTATTATTGCGATTTAAATAAACTTTGGTTAATATTACGTTGTTCTTAATATATACATATTTCTAATTATATGAACCTCTTCTTTATTTTGTAGGTCGTTGCAATAAGAGGTCACAATCACGAAAGAGACAAATTTGTCCAGTGTAATAACTGTATGTGTTACCGAATAAATACAATTGAAATAATAACATTATAATGAGATTATGTGTGATGTATTTCTAATTACGCCGACGTAACAACAGTACAAGTATCTGCATATATTTTCGATATCAATACATAATAGAGTTACACAATACTCAAAAAAAAAACAATAAAAAATCGATAATCAAAAATTGAATACTAACAGTAATTGTAGCCAGCTGTTCGCCAGTAATCACTTTTAGTTCGTGCGCCGGCGCCGAATCCATTGCACGTGTTGTTACACCAACTCGGTATGGAGCACGCGTCCCTCCGGTCTGGAGTTCAGTGACTGAGTGATAAACTGTCGGCGCCCGATCATATATTTAGGAGATAACACTCGGTATCCCAAACGGACCAAATAATGTCTAATCTATTGGGCCTATCCAATTTTATGATAACGATTTGATATTGATCTGCTCACAAGGTTATAATATGACGAAAGAAAGAAAGATTAGGGACTGACTAACTAATGTATTAATAGATAGGTTTAATGTGATATACAGATATACTTGGTGGGTTTTTCGAAACGATTTACTGTTGACTGGCTATTTTGTAAACAAACGATCGCGATCGTAATCAATCAATGCGATTGTTGTCAAGTAGATTAATTGTTGTAGGTATATTTTATTTATTACTAGCGACCGCCCCGGCTTCGCACGGGTGTAATATGCATGTATTATACATAAGTGACTTTGTTTTATACTATGTAGTGATAATGATATTGTTTGTTACACTAGAATTTTTTTTATTAGGAATGCCCCTATCCTATTTTTGTATAAGTGGTTATGGGAACTTTACAGTCGCAAGGCGCTTTTCTCTGCTCTATGATTTTTCACATAGAATTGAAATAATAACTCACTCACACATACCCTTTATAATTTTTACTTTTTTAATATATTGGTATATTTATATATATATGCATTTTTAAAGGCACTGCTACTAAAGTAACTAATTAAAAACATTTTTTCGTTACGAAAACATTCCATACCTCATCCTTTAGATAGAGGTAATATGATTTATACGGTTAATACATATATTAAGAATATTCTAGATATCTTTTAAAAATATGTTAAAACTAAAACAAGTCCTGTTTTGAAAAAAAATCTTTTAAAATGATGGCGTCAAGATTTAATACGTCCGACCCGATGATCAAAATAGATATGAATAAAAATTGATCTCTCGATTTAAAATAATCCTACTTAAGATAAAATTACAAATATTTAGAATACATAAAATTTATTACCTATTAATATACATTAATATTCACATAACAGTCTTGTTCTTTGTAATCTAATAAATACGTAATCAGTATTTAAACATAATATATTGTGTAGTATCAACAAAACATTAATATTTTAACAAAATTCTTCCTGATTCGAAATGTTTTTTAATGCGATGACATTTATAAAAGCGTCATCCATCATAAAACAAGCACAATGAACGGGAAACGAAACTAATTAACAAATTAAACAAATGATTGACAAAATTAATCAACTGTGACTAAATAATGATTTTACGCGAAATGTGTGATTTGACAAAATTACGTTCCTAAGTACTTGATTCTAGAAAACTCCATTGTTATAAATTTGTTTTTGTTTGTTTTTTTTTTTAAATCGTTGCCCCGCACTAGGATTTCCTCCTGTATCGTGGGTGAGTTTACAAACATACAATATCACATACACATGCCACCTAGACCCGGAACAACAATCTGTGTATCACACAAAGAGTTGTTCCGTGCGGGAATCGAACCCGCGAAACGTAGAAACAAAAATTGTGCTATTTAAAATTGTCAAAGTTTGTGAAGCCTCTGATTTATGCGCTGGCCAGGGTGCTTACTCCTGAAACCAATCTCAATGTCAATGCAATTTCAATCTAATAAAATCTCAATAATTATTGAATGTCAAAACTATACAACCCTTACAATCGTAGCTGTTACAATAGCATTCAGAGTACAGAATGTCAAGCCAAACTCAATACCATTTAGTTTATTAAATATCCACGCAATACGGATGCAATGGGCGCTGGTGTCGCAATTCAAGAGTACGAAATTTCACAATACCAATGTCGATCGATCGGAATTGGATTCAAGAGTCCCCTTCTTAAAGGCGCCTTCAGCGATAAAAGCTTAATCAATCACTATTCAGTCTATTTATATTATTTATTGTTATATAAATTTTAGGTAGATACTAACTGAAACGGCAAACGTTGTTTTGCCATATAAATAATTTCGTAGAAGGGTGGAAATTGAGGATTGTATGTATTTTTGAATGTTGTATAATAAAAAAACAGAAATTAAAAATTTTGTCTAAAAAATAAAAAAAAAAATTAGGGATGGACTACCCTTAACATTTAGGGGGATGAAAAATAGATGTTGGCCGATTCTCATAGATACCGGATAAGCACAAAAAATTTCATCAAGATCGGTCAAACCGTTTCGGAGGAGTATGGCAACGAAAACTGTGACACGAGAATTTTATATATTAGATTGGTCCCTATAGAAAACCACTACTTAAGAGTAATCTACGTATGTTTCCGTTTTTCCAAGACCTTAATATACAAAGTGACCAATAAACTGTAATTTAAATCAATTGCTTGTATTTATGTTCCAAAGTCTAGACAAATATTCATAAATACATGTTTTACATAATTCATTAATTTTAATTAAAATAAATTAGCAAGTTTTATTTAATTTCAATATTTAAAACTATTGTTTGCTGGATCGCATGGTGTTGTCAGTTTTAAAATACCTATGATTAAGTTTTTTATGACTTAGACTTTAGATTAGACTGCCTCGTTGGCCGAGTGGTCGCAAGTGCGATTGCCGGACGAGGGGTCTCGGGTTTGATTCCCGGGTCGCGTCGGGCAAAGTATTACTGGGTTTTTAAAAATTCTCAGTAGTAGCACGGAGTCTGGAATTGTGCCCGGTATATGGCAATAGGCTCACCCCCTATTACATGGGACTCATGACATAAATAGTGAAAAGTGGGTGTTACATTGTACACTGGCATAATGCACCAGTAAGTACCTATACTGGCATAACCACCATAATGTACAGTGTACCTCTGCCTACCCCTTCGGGGATAAAAGGCTGTTAAGTTTTTTATGTAGAAATTCTCAAAAACATTTTAATTAGGAATTTGTAATCGAAGAGCTTATTCGAAGGTTTTTCGAGAAAAAGTTCTTATTTGGTCTACAAAAATTGTTACTGATGCGATGCGTGCTGATGTATGATATGTAATGTAAACGCACACATTAAAAACATTTTTTTAATAACTAACTTTTGCCCGCGACTTCGCACGCGCAATCCCGTTCTCTCCCGTTCCCGTTGGATTTTCAGTATTTTGTCTGTCATAAGAACCTTGTCATGACGATAACAAACACAACAAAAAAAAAATCAGCCAAATCGGTCTAGCCGTTCTCAAGTTATGGCGTGGCAAAGGGAAACGGGTTATATTTTTATTTTTTTTATTAATAACTATATTTAGTAGGTGAGGTAACTTTATTTTAGGTACGATTTCATAATCATTGCACAATTGTCCAATAAATAACGTTATTTCTAATAAAATTATGTAACTTTGATTTTAACCGTAGGTATCTTTCATATCTATCTTTTAGATAAATATATACCTACTTTACATTGAGAAGCAGGCAGGTATCTATAGTCCATCTGTTTAGGTAATTAACTAAAGGTAAACAAAGAAAACCACGTGACACAGAGATACTTAACCTACTATTACTTCAAATATTTCTCGTGTTTTAATTTTAACTAAATTCACTTTAAAATCGTTCATTTGTCATACACACACATACAAGTACAAATGCCTAAATCGTACAAGAGCCTAGCCTATGGGTCTTTTTCATTATCATGTTTAAATAGAAACTATTCTGAATCTGATGTACGGATTTCTTTCTTGTACGGATATGTGTCTTTGGGCCAAGTTTCTTCAATATATTTGAACACATTAATTACAAACGATGTATACCTAAACTTAAATAACTTAATAACAAAAACAAAACATAGAAACAAGATAAATTCAACAAAATAGGAACGCGAGCGCAAACGACGAGAGAGCTGTCAATGGCGCCTGATTAACCGACTAAACGTAATACACGCTACTTTCATTGTCGCGCTACATCTTAGTTGTACTCTTTAATTTGACAACATTATTTTGCTTCGTTCTTAAAGAAGGGTTTTGGATACCTGGGATTTTAGGCTCTTTATGGTGTCTATTGTAATGAAATATGATATTATTTAATAAATGTTATTAAATTAATATCCTCAAGCAGATATATATAATATTTACTAAGAAATAAGTGAAAAGGAACAGAAACATAACATTTAATTGAGAAAACTGTCGTAAAAAGGGAAACAATTTTATTTTCTTATGAAGTATTTTAAATCATGGAAATGTCAACTATAAAGAACTCTTTTTATGGTTTGTTTACAAATAGTTAACTACCTAAACAGACGGAGTATAGATAACACCGAGGTAAAAGTGATTTTATTCAATTTTATTATAGGTATTAATTAATAAATAATCTTTTTGAGATAAGATTAAAATATTGCCCCCCTGCTAGATATAGGTACGTACATAAGTTTTACACAAGAAGCAAAAGTAAATATTAATGTAATGTAAATTTATATGTATTAATGTAAAATTCGTACTTATCAATGTAAACGAGACCATAATCCTGAAAATTATTTTATTTTTAATTAAGTATAGGTACTCGTTACTGAAAATTATCTTTTTCATTTATTATTATCTTTTTTTTAAAAAAATGTATTTTAGTAATTTGTGTTTTAAAGTTTTTAAACCGAAATTACGAGTACCTATAGTAATTAATATTATTTTATACTGTAAAGGTACTTTAAGAATTTAGTCATTATCATATTCATGGTTAATTAAAAGTTTTCCCGAATAGTGAACAAAGAAAATTTTAAAATATATTTCGACATTCTTTTTTGATTTTTATTTTTAGCTAATTAGCTTGTAAAGATCATTAACCTTATAGTATTTAGCAGAGTATACATAAGTATGTAAATTATTTAAAAAATAAATATTTATTCATTTCCAAAATTCAAACGAAGAAATGACATTTACAAAGTTATTATCACTGGACTATGAGCCCATTATATATAATACATAACCTCTTTTCTAATGTTTTTTTTTTTGGGATCAGCCGGTAAACGAGCAGACGGATCACCTGATGGTAAGCAATCGGCGTC